ACTGGAATTGAACCTGGGACCTTTCAGTCTGCAGGCCGATGCTCTACCCACTAAGCCAAACCGGTTTCGGTGTGTAAGCTGAGTCTTAAAGGACAAGGAGTTAGCATCCCAGTGAATTAAAAAAGGAGGATTCCTAGCAGCAGTATGCTAAGGGCTGTGAGACCACCTGACATGCTTGGTAAAGTGCTTATAGTTTACTCTGACTGAAGGATGAGCTAAAAGTGGGAACATGGGAGGAGGTGAGGCAGGAAAGACTACCAAGAACAGATCACAAAGAACCTTGTAGAGCTCTTGGAGGAGTTTAAACTGAACCTTCCATCAGTCCCCCATCCACATAATCTGGTTTCTCTGTTAGCAGTGAAATAAACGTATTTAAGAGCAGCAACAGCAAAAAGGGGAAAGAGGGCAGAAAATTGGCCTCAAATGAACTGGCATCTCTTTACAGCTAATATTCCTCCTTGAGAATACTACGTTAATTAAACATGTGCCTTGAAAGATTCGGTATTGCTTTACTTTTGCTCCCTGTTGGCTGTCTCATTCATTAATCTGCTGATTAGTAACCCTGAACTCTTGCATCCCTCTCCCTTTTTTGCATTCCCTTTTTAATATACTATGCTATTCCCCCAGGATGTAAACTCCAGGACCCGTCTCTGGCCTGCTCATGTTTGTTTTCTTTGCCCCTTGTGCCTGCCTCTGCTATAACATTTGTAGTATGTGTTAAGTAATCCTTAAGGTAACATTTTTATTATGTCATAAAAAGTGCATGGCAAATATATTATAACTCATGGACTTTGTTTAAAAATGAACGGATAATTTATTGAGTGTGTTACATGAGCCTTGCTCCCCTCCCCATTTCAGCTGAGACTTGCTGCTCACTTAGCATAGCCTCCTCTTGAGTGCTCCCGCCCTGTGACATGCTGAGAAGGCACACTCATGGTTGGCTAGAAATGACATCATAGTTTATGTGCTCAATAAAACTTTAATTAAGTCATTACAGGAATTGCAGTCATCATTTAACCCTCTGATTTCTTCTGTTTAGTTTATTATTAAACATTCAGTAATACCAGTCACCAAATCCTGATGGCTTATAAAATATCTGCATGAATTTTAATAGCTTAAATAAATGGGAAAATATGAGTAAACTGATATAAAAGGAACTTTTTCCTTGTGGTGGTGCTATATATATGGCTTTTTATAAAAAGTAAAGCATTATGAAAAGGATAAGAGTTTAATAAGAAAATGTCCCAGTGCTATCTGGGAGGAGTTTTCCTGTCTGTGTATTCATGGACAGGGTGCTCCATGTAGGATGATCTGGTAGTGGGGACACAGAACCTGCACACCAGCAAACAAGCTTAAATGAGATAATAATATCCCAGCACAGATTCACCAGAGGGAATATCCAGGTCCCCTTGGCTAGAAGGGCCCGGTGGGTTGAGTCCAGTGGTTCAGGAAGCTGTTCTCACTTATGCTCACCTGTTGCCTGCATATCATGTGTCTGCACAGATTGAGCTTCCACCCTCTTCCAGGAAGGGACCTTTTCATGATCTAATCCAGCCGGGGTGATGATATCTGAAAACCATGTCTAGCTGTGGCTGCTCGCCATTCCTCAGCTAGAGTGAGGGGGAGAGGCAGTTGACAGGACACTGGAGTTAGAATATAGGACAAGGAGGTAGAAGAGCCTTGCTAATAAGGAATTCCACTCCTGGTATCCACTCTTGCTAGGCAGTAGCCAGCCAGAATGCAGGTGCATCCCAAAAGAGGAAAGTGTGTTCATATGTAAATACAGACCTTGCTGGAAAGCATAACTGAAGTTTGCAGATTAATGTGTTGGTGATCTCTGGGAAAGCCCTGCATACGGTGAAATAGGAAAAGCACTCCAGAAATCAGGTTCCAGTTCTGCCTCTAACACTAACCTGATGTGTGACCTTGTCTTCTTTTGGGGTTTCAGTTACCATTTTTTAAAAGGGATTGAGCTAGGTGGTTTCTGAGGGCCCTTCCAGCTCAAAGCCTACTGGTTTGATGCCACACATAAACCAGTTTTGTGAGCATGTTCAGTGAATGTTTACCTCTGAGAGATGCTCCTGCCTGCATGTTTGACAGCTCCAACATTTGTTTATGGATCATCTATTTCTTGCACAATTAGGAGAACAGCTGTAGTATGGGAGTAGAGAGAACCCCACAATAGTATCAACGGGTCTGGGTTTGTAGTCTCAACCTCACATTAACTCGAGCTATGACCTATTTCTTGACTCTTTTCACTGCAGCCCATTCTAGAAGATGGTGCAGTAGAAGTTTGGCAGCAAATGTTTATGACATTTCAGAAACAAATAAATGGGTATCATTGGATAGAACATGTTATGCGAAGCATTCAGGCCCTTGTAAGGATTTAGTCATCAGCATGCCCATCTTAAATCCTGCTCTGGGCCAGGCTCTGGACTGGGTGATGGGATTGCTGAGATTAATCAGAGTTCCTTATGACCCCTGAATAGCTCACAGACTAGTGGGAGAGACAGGTACTTAAGCAGTTTAAACCATGTTATGTATCCAGAGGGAGAAGTGTGAACAGAGAGCTCTGGGAACACAGAGATGGATGGTTTATTTGGCCTGGGTTGAAGGTGGGGTGGAAAAGGTCATGGATTATACTATCTGCCTGCGTCCAATTTCACATTTTCCAGTCTTGAACTTCACAGTTCTCTCTTCCTTTTTGAACATTATTCATAACTATAAAGTACAGGAACTGATTTTAGTTTTATACAAACAAACCAAAGGTATTACTCATAATTCCTTTAAGTTGCAGAGCACTTAACAACTTACTAAGGCTTTCAGCATACATTGTTGCATTAGTGAATGAATACATGTTAATTCATTTGCTCTTCATACCAGCATCTGTATGTAGGACATTTAAAAGACAAGGAAATAGACTCAGAGGTTACTTGACTTACCCAAGATCACAAACTATGTACATAGCAGAATTATTATTTGAACTCAGGTTTTATGACTACATCCTTCACTACTCTTTTCTGCCCTTCTTCAAAGATCAGTTATAAACCACAGGATTAAGTCACTCAGTCTTTAATTTATGATCCAAAGTAAAATTATCCTCCTGAAGGCAGTAACCTGATGGAACGTAAGGCTCATAGATTTTGGAATCAGACTGGCCTGGATGCTAATCTCAGCTTTGTCACTAATTTGCTGTGGGATCTAGGGCAAGTCACTTCACCTGACTGAATCTCAGTTTTCTGTGAGATTCAGTCATACAAACATGACTATAGCACATCTACCTCTCTGAGTTCCCATGGTGATTAGAGGAGATGATGTCCATAAAGCACCTGGTCCTTAACCAGTATTCACTAAATGGAAAAGAGGATGGTAGCATGGTCATTGTCAGGTTGTTAAGCACAAATCTTACTCTCCATATAAAGCTCCAAATAACCTGTCAGCTTAAATAATTAACAAGTCCTTACTACATATAACACATTACACCTGACTTTCTGCTGGGATTCTAGAGAGGAATGAAAGCTGGATCCTGCCCTCGAGCATATTCCTGGAGGTTTGAAGGTGAAAGTTTTGCCCTCTGAAAGACCTTCAGTGTACTGTGCTCTAGGCTCTGAAGGTCCTCCTCGCCATTCTCTGGAAGGAATCCTACCAGAGTCTCACTGGATTGCATTTCTAGAATATCCTCTTAACATTAACAGTCTTACTATTTTAGTCCATCTTATTTTCTCCTCTTGTCCATGGCTTCAGAGTCCCCTCTTTCTCCTCAGCATCTCATAGTCCTGCCTCTTTCTTTCCTGTTCCCACATCTGTCACTTCCTTCTTTTGTCCTTTTACCACAACAAGCTCTTTTGAGTGGTCCCTTAAGACATTTCCTAATCTGAACCCAACAGATCTTACCAGTGTTCCTGCCCATTTACCCCTCTTGGTACTCCCTAAATTTTTACCTGCCTTTCCTTTGCACACCTTATTCCCTCTGTCTAGAATGTCATCTCTTCTCCCCCTTCCTCTCTTCTGTCAGATTCCTCCACTAAGGTCCACTTAAGTGTGAAGAAAACTCTTTCCCAGTCCCCCAAGCAGAGATCATTTGTACCAAAATTCATTTATGGCTCACCACATTTGGAATAGAATTTAGACAACTCATTGTAAGTAATTATAGTTGATCCTTGAACAACCTGCACAATTCAAAATCCATGTATAACTTTTGACTCCCCCAAAACAACCCTCAGTATTTGTGGGGGATTGGTTCTAGTACCCTCTGTGGATACCAAAATCCATGGATGCTTAAGACCTCTATGTATAGAGGTATAAATCACCCGGCCATGGTGGCTCAGTGGTTGAGCATCTGCCTATGAACCTGGAGGTCACAATTCGATTCCTGGTCAGGGCACATGCCCAGGTTGCAGGCTCAATCTCCAATGCGGAGCATACAGGAGGTAACCCATCAGCGATTCTCTCTCATCATTGATGTTTCTATCTCTCTCTTCTTCTCCCTTCCTCTCTAAAATTGATTAAAATATATATTAAAAATTAATAGATAGATAAAGTAGTGTAGATCAATATATACAGTTGGCCCTCCTAATCCATGGACTCCCAACTATGGATGGAAAACAGTATAGGTTGTTATTGGGGAAAAATGCATGTGTAAGTGGACCCATACAGTTCATACCCGTGTTGTTCAAGGGTCAACTGTAGTTTTTATATGTCTGCTTTCCAATACTAGACTCTGCCCCTCCAGGGAGGAAACTATTTCTTCTACCTTGTGTTCAGTTGGGACTCAGTTCATTAAACCAACTTACTGCTTTGTGTAATTTGGCATTGAAACCTTAAAATAAGCTGTCAAACTGGGGGAAATCCTTGACAGATCAGGGAAATGGGGATGAACTGGCATTTTGACCCTCTCTCTTTGTCTTAAGAGTGTGTGACAGCTAAAAGCCAAAGATCCTACTTTTTAATTTGTTCCCTTTTTTTCATACCCTTTGTTCTTGCAATTTTGTTTCTTACAGGTCAATCCCTATATCCTGAAGAAGAACATGATGATTCTGACAAATAATTTCTATGCAGCAATCTTGGGATATGATGAGGTAAGATCATGGTGAAGTCTTAGAACAGTGGCCTTCCCCAACAAATGCTTGTGACGAGAGCCTCCCAGCAAAGCTTCAGGGGATGTCACTGCCTGCCATCATGGCTTCATATTTATTTGTCATCTTCACTGGCAACTAAGTGCCATAGTTTGCCTGTGCTTGGGAAAGAGAACTCCTTTTAATATGGGCAAATCATTCAACCAGTCAGCATTTATTGAGTGCCTGTAGGGAACTGGATGGAGGGACAAAGGCAAATCAGTCACTTTCCCAGCCCCAGGTGCTCCCTGAGAGAGGAAGACATACACATGTAAACAGTACCATCTGCCAGACAAATAGCACACTTTTTTTGTCTTTAATTATAAAAGCAATACATACTCATTTTAAAAATTAATGAAACCGTACTTAAGTGTTTGAAGTAGAAAATAAAAGGCCCCTGTCCTGTCCTGCCCACTTCCTGCCCCAGAGGAAACTCTGTTAATAGTCTGTTGGGTGTTCTTCCAGACCTTATCTGGGCATACACAGCACCAGCTATTTATTTTCTTTATGTAAATACACATGTTCTGCAACTTGCTTTTTTCATTTTAGATCGTGGGGATTCTTCCACATCAGAACATTTAGATATATCTCTTTTGTTTTAATCTTCACCCGAGGATATCTCATTTTTTTTCCTTTTAAAAATATATTTTATTGATTTTTTACAGAGAGGAAGGTAGAGGGATAGAGAGTTAGAAACATCTATGAGAGAAACATCGATCAGCTGCCTCCTGCACACCCCCTACTGGGGATGTGCCCACAACCCAGGTACATGCCCTTAACCGGAATCGAACCTGGGACCTTTCAGTCCACAGGCCGACACTCTATCCACTGACCCAGACCAGTTTCGGCTATCTCATTTTTTTATTATAAAATATACACAGCATAAAAATTTAATCATTTTAAAATGTACATTTTAGTCATATTAAGTACATTCACATTTTTTAGTAACAATCACCACTATCCAGCTCCTGAACTTTTTCCATCTACCCGAACTGAAACTCCGTGCCCATGAAGCACTGTTCTCCCATACTCCCCTCTCCCAGCCCCTGCTTTCTATCTCTATAATGCTGACTATTCTAAATACCTTATATAAATGGAATCATACAGTTTTTGTCCTTGGTGTCTGGTTTATTTCACTTAGCATAATGTCTTTAAGGTTCATCCATGTTGTAGCATCTGTCTCATCTTTCCCCCCTCTTATTATGGAAATTTCAAGCATAAGAAAGTTAAAAGAATGGTGTAATGAATACCTGTGTGCACATCACCAGGATTCATCATATCTCATCTATTTTAATAAACCATGTGCTTTTATTATTTTATGCTCATTTTGTGGTTACCTCCAGATTTAATGTAAGTATCACCCCTTTTGGGAAACGGTCCCAGAACTTCCTCAGGCTCAGTCATTCTGCCCTCCCTGGACTACACAGCCCTTCTACATTAATATTAACTGTCATCCTAGATGGGGATTTCTTCTGGGTAGTGGCAGTGTCTGCTGTGTTTGTGTTTCTATTGGCTAGCATGACGCTTGGCATAGGGTAGGTGAAGAGTAAGGAAGGGAGGAAATGCATAAAAGGACGAAAGTAAGAAACTAAAGTTCAGGGTGGAGGAAATGTTGCCAGCCTAAAGATAATAATTAAAGCCAGGAGAGAAGCTTATAAAAAATTTAGTAAGTGACTTGTATAGGGTCATAGGACTAGTTAAGATGGAGGTTTCCTGGTTTCCAATCCACCAGATTATCCAATTATAAGAGCAATTTAGATTGCATACCACACACACCATTAATTTAACATGAACTTTTAAAAATATATATATATTTTATTGATTTTTTACAGAGAGGAAGGGAGAGGGATAGAGAGCTAGAAATATCGATGAGAGAGAAACATCGACCAGCTGCCTCTTGCACACCCCCTACTGGGGATGTGCCCACAACCAATGTACATGCCCTTGACCGAAATCAAACCTGGGACCTTTCAGTGCGCAGACCAATGCTCTATCCACTGAGCCAAACCGGCTTCGGCTTTTTTATTTATTTATTTATTTAAATATATTTTATTGGTCCTTTACAGAGAGGAAGAGAGGGATAGAGAGCCAGAAACATCAACGAGAAAGAAACATCGATCAGCTGCCTCCTGCACAACCCCCCACTGGGGATGTGCCCGCAACCAAGGCACATGCCTCTGACCAGAGTCAAACCCAGGACCCTTCAGTCCCCAGGCCGATCCTCTATCCACTGAGCCAAACCGGCTTCGGCTTAACATGAACTTTCTGGGAGTGAGATGGGAGTTGAGAAACATTCTTGAATCGACACATTAGTTGTTAAATCAGATACATTCTGATTTCAGAAATTTTACAGATATAAAAGAATGAAGCTTAGAATTGAAAAATATAGCCCTGGCCAATTTGGTACAGTGGATAGAGCATTGGCCTACAGACTGAAGGGTCGCAGGTTCGATTCTAGTCAAGAGCATGTACCTTGGTTGCAGGCTCAATCCCTAGCCCCGGTCAGGGTTCTTATGGGAGGCAATCAATCAATGTATCTCTATATCGATCTTGTTCTCTCTCTGTGTCTCCCCCTCTTTTCTAACTCTAAAAATCAATGGGAAAATGTCCTTGGACGAGGATTAACCAAAGAAGAGTTGAAGAAATATAATTATTTCTGTTGGCATTGTTTGAAGTCTTTATAGCAGGTGGCTCATTTGATTTCTTTCACCAATATTAACAGATGTGTTCTGAATTGCATCACTTCTCTGTCCCCATCCCATGCCTAGAAGAGTCATCATACAAACATGCCTGGTCACAAGAGTTACTTGGGGTGCTTTTAAATTTTGATTTTTGAGTACCTCTTTGAAGATTCCAGTTCAATTGAAGTGGGGCCTGGTATTTCAACAAGTACCCCAGGTGACTTTTAAAAGTGGGAATGTTTGGGAAATATACTAATTACCTGGGACACTTTTTAGAAATACCAATATTTGTGTCCTACCCTCCAAAAATTCTGATTTAACTGATGTAAGTTGGCATATAAAAGTTCCCTAAGTAGAGCGGCCAGGCCCGGGGGAGCAGTCGGGTCGGGTGCGGCCAGGCCCGGAGCAGCGGCTGCCAGGCTGGGAGCGGCCAGGCCCGGGGGAGCAGGCGGGTCGGGTGCGGCCAGGCCCGGAGCAGCGGCTGCCAGGCTGGGAGCAGCAGCAGCCAAGTCCAGATCAACTAGGTCGGGAGCGGCAGTGACCAGACCCGGAGCAGCTTGTTGTGGAATGAACCAGAGCAACAGAGGCCAGGCCCTGAGCAGCCAGGCCCAGAACAGCTCGCTCCTTGCCTGCCCCTGCCCCTGCCCCACGGCTGCTTCTCAGACATGGCTGGAAACTTTCGTGGGAACTTGAGGGTCTGCTGAATCAAGTGATGAAGGCTTAGATCTGGATGTGTTGAGTTAGTTTAGGACTGGGGTGTTGATCTGTGAGTGCCTTGGGTGGGGCCTGGATGAGGCTGGTTGACCTAGTGGGAAATGTCTTTTGTGTGAAGTGTATCATTGGGCATGTGGAGGTATTATTGATATGAGAAAATGTTAAGTAACTGATTTACTATCTGAAAAGGGATTTACTATTGGGGAAATTGAGGGAAGAAGAGACTGAACATAAACTGCACCTATGGATGAGGACAATGGGGGATGGGGGGGGACGGAGGGTGGGGTGGGAACCCGGTGGAGGGGGGAAGAAATGAGGAACCTTTGTAATAATATGAACAATAAAGATTGATTAAAAAATAAAATAAAAAAAAATAAAAATAAAAGTTCCCTAAGTAATTTTAATATGCAATTCTAGGACGGTCTTTCTTACATTTTAATGTGCATGAAAATCACCTGGAGACCTAGGTAATATTCAGATTCTGCAAGTCTGGGGAGAGGCCTGAGATTCTGCATTGCTAACAAGCTGCAAGCAATATGTTGCAGCATTGGCAACTGGGACATGTGCCACACCAGCTGGCCCCACGTGGCTATTTTGATTTAAATTAATTAAAATAAAATTAAACCCAGCTGGTGTGGTTCATTAGTTGAGCGTCAACCTATGAACCAGGAGGTCACGGTTTGATTCCCAGTCAGTGCCAGGTTGTGGACTCCACCCCCAGAAGGGGGCGAGTGCAGGAGGCAGCTGATCAATGATTCTCTCTTATTGATGTTTCTCTCTCTCTCGCCCTCTCCCGTCTTCTTTCTGAAATCAATAGAAACGTACTTAAAAAAATAAATTAATTAAATTAAAAACTCACTTCCTCAGTTGCACTAGTTATATTTCAGGTGCTCAATAACTGTATATGGCTCCTGTAGTGACAGTGCAGCAGTAAAGCATTTCCATCATCACAGAAATCTCAGTGGACAGTGTTGTACTACAGCACCTTTCCCTAGACTCTTGCTGGGATTGTGCCCCACCCTGGACACTTTCAAACCATCCTGTTTGCTACTATGTTAGGTTCGAGGACCTTCAGGCCTTTTGTAAACCATCCTCATTATGACATGTCTACATTTATCTCTCATTTCCTGTTGATGTGTAGCCTTCTTCCCAAGTGACGCCATTGCCTCACTGCCCCACAGACATGCTGTATCTGATTGAGGCTCTTCTGGACAATCAGGTGTAGAGGATAGTAGCTCAGTCTGTCAGCTTTGCCCCTTGCAGGCCCAGTTCAAGGCCTGGCACCTTTTAGGCAATGCCCTCCATAAATGTTTAGTAAACGAAAATTATCCTCTCATGCTTAGAATATCTCCCCCCCCCATTTTTTTATTAAGGTATTATACATGTACATATCTTACCATTGCCCCCCCCCCACCCTACCCCCATACCTGCCCTCACCCACCCGTATTTTGTGTCCATTGGTTATGCTTATATACATGCATACAAGTTAGAATGTCTTGTAGGTCTCCAAATACTCTCCATTCCTAAAGGCCCCTTTCTCCACAAAGCTTTCCCTGACCTCTCTAGATCTCTATCTCTTACTCAGAATTTCACTATCCATCCATCAATTTAACAGGTATTTATTTATGCCTACCATGTGTTCCACTGGGAACATATTGGTGAATAAAACAAACATAGCCTGGTTCTTTCCCACTTAGTTTACTGCCTATCTCCCCATTATCAAAGGGGAGATAGGCAGTAAAATAGAGTGCAGTAACATATTCTCTAACCATAGAGAATAACAGGGGAAATGTGCTTGGTGTGGGGAGGTCTCTGAAGAGTTGTCATAGAAACTGACTCAAGAATGGGAGCCAGCCATGAACTGAGTATACCTCAGAGTCTCCCTGTACAGATTAGCATTTGCTTCTTCTCCAGGATTTAAGCCTGTTTTGATATGCACTAGCTTTGTTCCTTCAACTAGATTGCAAGCTGCCTATGAGTAAGACCATATTGCTGTGATTCTGTGTTCCTAGCATCAAGCCAAGCACAACATGGTGTCAAATCAGTCTTCATTGAGTGAGACTCTTCTACTTTAAACCCTTAATTATCACCAGAGCCCCCATGAGCCAGGGAGTCCCTTTTGGCTTCCTCTCAGTTACTCTAGACCAATGGTTCTCAACCTTCCTAATGCCAAGACCCTTTAATACAGTTCCTCATGTTTTGGTGACCCCCAACCATAAAATTATTTTCATTGCTACTTCATAACTGTAATTTTGCTACTGCTTTGAATCGTAATGTAAATATCTGTGTTTTCCACTGGAACTGGTTTGGCTCAGTGGATAGAGTGTCGGCCTGCGTACTGAAGGGTCCCGGGTTCGATTCTGGTCAAGGGCATGTACCTTGGTTGCGGGCACATCCCCGGTGGGGGCTGTGCAGGAGGCAGCTGATCGGTGTTTCTCTCTCATCGATGTTTCTAACTCTCTGTCCCTCTCAATTCCTCTCTGTGTAAAATCAATAAAATATATTAAAAATAAATAAATAAATAATATAAATATCTGTGTTTTCCGATGCTCTTAGGTGACCCTGCTAGCGGTTCTCAACCTGTGGGTCGCGATCCACATGTTGAGAACCGCTGCTGTAAAGCCTAAGACCATCGGAAAACACAGATATTTACATTACGACATTATGATTCATTAGGAAGGTTGAGAACCACTGCTCTAGACCTAGGTAGATCTTTATTCCCTGAAAGGTGCTGCTTTTTTTTTTTTTTTTTTTTTTCATTGTAGGGAAAACAGGTAGGTGCCCTAGTAGATTGTGAAAGAATTGCTATGCAACTTAGTATTTGGTTCCAAGACACCCTTTTTTCCTGCTTCCTTGGTTTGAAATTTATACTCTCTCAGACCTGTCTCCAATTTATTTTCACTGACTTAATAGCAGCATGGTGGAAAGAGGACTGAAGCTGGGTTCATAGATTTAGTTAACCATTTTTCTTGCACTTCCACTCTGTTCCAGATATTGCATCCTAACTAGAGCTAGTCAGGCACTGTCCCTTGGCCTCACCAGTGCATTCTGGTCCTAGTTCAGCCATCAATTAGTTAGATGACATACAAGCCTAGGGTACTTTTCTTTCAAACGAGGATAATAATATCTGTTCTTCTTGACACCTGTAGTCATTAGGAGCCAGGTGTGAAGGAACTCTGGCAATCTGGAATAGTCAGGCTGTTATCACTGTTAATGTGAGTCTTGAGTCATCCATTTCCTTCTGATAATCAGGAACTGATTATGGGTTTGTCCCTTCCTAACCATTTCACCCACCATCACGGTTGCCTGTTTGCAGCAGGCCATGACTTTTGCTGTCCTGTGCTCTGTGCTCATTCTCCAAGTCCTCATAACACCCGCTCGCACTCCTGTTCCTTCCTATGTAGCACATGGGGTTGCTGCCAGCAGCACTCCAGCATGTGCCCAGGGCATTCAGACACAGGCAGCCTGTTGTGTTAGCAAATAGCTAAGAAAATGGTGATGTGCCTGAGCTAGTCTTTGGCTCCTATCCCATCTACCGGAAGAAGCTGGTTTTCCTGACTCAGCCATTGTGCCAGGATAGTCTCTTAAATGGTGGAATTGCAGGGCTGTTTTGCGGGGACATTTGGAACAGGTGGACTATTTTTCCACCAAACTGTCATACTGGACATGGCTTTTCCTGGCAGCAGACCTGAAGCCAGACCTCATGTACTGCAGTGCCACAGAGGCCAGCCCACAACATGTCAAATAAATGGTCCTGAGTCTTGGTGTAATGATTTAACACTTAAAGGGTCTTTCATGGCCATTATCTCTTAATTCTCACAACAACTTTGTGGGATAGGTATTATGCTTGGTTAGCCAATGAGAAACTGAGGCTCAGGAAGAGCTAGTAGCTTTTTAGAGGCCATGCAGACATCAAACAGAGCTTCTATTTGAAGTCAGATGGTCTGATCCCCAGATCCCACTGTTGTTTCAACTATTATCAATAGCTGCTTGCCAAAGCAAGCTCCTGATCTTTGTATGTGACTTATTACACTCAATAAAACATCTTTATGTTATATTTTATTTATAATTTAAGGATGATGTGAGAAGGGCACGTGTTTTCATCTCTCTTTTATAGATGAGAAGGCTGAGACTTAGGTTTAGTGAACTTCTTACCATTTTGAGCTTGGCAATGGAAGAGCTAGGACTTGATCCAGCCTTCTAACTCCCAGTCAGCACTTTGTCTGGTTCCATACACTACCTTGGCGCCTGGACAGAAAACTTCTCAGGGCCTTTCCCTTCAGTTGCCCTTATCCCAGAAAGTAAGACCCTCCTCTGCCCTCCCTTAGAGATCCAAGCTATAAAACGGCCCTAGTCCATGGCCCAGCTGCTGATTAACCTCTGTGATATTTGGACTTCCCAACTGTGCCAGAGAGACAATGTTAGGCTCACATACACACAGGCTTTGAACATTCCCTCTGTGAACCATGGGAATGTTGCTAACAGCCTGTTCCTCTACTTAGGAAGGCTGGGCCAGTCATGGCCAGCCTAGAGCTGGGTAACATTGAGGCCAGGTGCCTAGTTTCCATCCCCAAATTACCAGCTGTCTTGCAGATATATGCCCTTGGACCAGGAGAGAAGGTGAAGTCCACACCCATCTCTGTTCCTGGGAAAAGATATACTTCCATTATTTCAAACCCATATGTGTGGACAGTAGTGGGACCATTGCTGAGTAAAGGGAGCTGTGGCCCGGGATGGTCAACGAGACATGAGCCCGTCTCTGCCAGTCGTCATTCAGCCCCTCTGGTCTCCATGTCCCTCCTTTGCATAAAATGAAGAATTTGGACCAGATACTCTCTGAAAACCTCTACTAGCTCTACCAAGTCGCTTCCCTGTTTCTTATAGTATCTATAATGTCCCTCTGAGCCGATTCTATGGCTATTAGTGTATTCTTAATATCCCTAGCTTTTGTATCATGGCTCTTCCATACTCCTCAGAAGACTAACTGTGGCACTCTGTTCCAGGGGATCCTTTCAGATGATCATGGGCTGGCTGCTGCCCTGTGGAGAACCTTCTTCAACCAGAAATGTGAAGACCCCCGACAGCTTGAACTATTGGTGGAATATGTGAGGAAACAGGTGAGTAATCCTTCCCCTCCCCTCCCCTCCAAAGTCTCATGGAAAGCAGGACCTTCCTGAGGTCTGTCAGTGCTGGGCTGCCCGAGGACCATGAGAGGCTGAGTTCCTAGACACCACTCTGAGGGAATTCTGATCAAATCATGTCAGCAGTGGGCACCGATGAAGAGCACTTTCTGTGTATCCACCATAAGCTAGGCCACAGGTCAGGGAACGGGAATAGGAGAAAAGGCACCTGCTTTCAGAAACTTCTATTCATTCATGGCACATTAATTGCTTTCTGTGTGTCAAGTGTTGTGCTATATCATCGGACACACAGTCCTATAAGATGTGGGCATGGGGTACAGTGCAGCCACCCATTGTGGCCCTATTTCTGTACCTATTAATACTTTGAGCCCCAGGATTTATGTTTTCTTCTGCTAATTTCTAGCAGGACTGAGCTCCAGGCTGCATTCCACAGACATCTCTCAAGCTTCTTCCCACTAGGTGCTATACATAGTCAAGTAGGGCTCCCCCCTCCCCCTTTTCTCTGGCTCTCCAGGGCTTCCTGAAATTCAAGGATCTAGGAGAAAGTTCCAGAGTGAGGACTACTTAATTGATTTGTTCTCAGGCCCATGGAGAATTCACTCCTTGATCTCCACGTCCCCCATCTTGTATTGATGGGAAACCCCTACTTTATGGCTAAGTGAGCTGAGTGGCAGGGAAGATGAACATAGATGCTTTTCCAGGGTCTCCCAGTGAGTCATCCTGCACAGCTGACCTAGAACCCTAAGCTGGGTGATTCATGTAGTCACTAGAGGCCTCAGCTGCTCCAGACAGCTCATCAGCTCAGGCTGTCCCATGAGTCACATCTTTGCTTCATGGGCCTGGCCCCTGGAGCAGAAAGGGCCTCACCCCACAGTTATTCTTTTATCCACCTGTGTCTGTGGCCTTCAAGCTTCCAACAGCCAGAAAATGGAAGGCCAGACCCCAGCTCTTGAGAAGATGGCAACAGGACCATCTTGTTGATTGTTGGGAAAGCAATGTACTGGGGCTTTTCAGACCTAAAGGGTAGAGAATCCCCAAAGCTAGGACCTCCGTTTGACGGTTCTTCAAATCTGCCAGCACCAGAGAGAAGGCATTATGGCCAGAGGGCCCCACCCACAGAGAATTCTGAGACTCCTACTGTTCACTAGGCTCACTCTCAGCCAGCAGTAGCAATTGGCAAAGCAAATGCTGTGTTTTCTGAGAGACCAGCCCAACTTTCCATCTGCTGTGGTGGGCCTGTGCCAGGCGGCATGACAAAGACATAGCTGAGGGTCTTAGAGGAAGGGACTGCCCCCCCAGTGCCCTATAAGAAGTCCCATATTGCCTCAGGGAGATGCCAGCAATTGGAAAACAGCGATGAGGCTATTAAGGAAGCATGGAGCTCTGACAGGGACCCACTTCTGTGAGCAACTGTTTTGAGCCCCTTTTCTATTCAGAAAGCAGAGATTACTGAGTTCTAGCCCTGCCCTCAAGGAGCCAGCTCCTGGTTTAGTGAGGAAGCCAGTCAGGCACTAGGTTAACCCTGGAATAAGTCAGTCTGTGATGTCAAACGGTAGGAACGAAGTGCTGTGGAAGGCCAAAGAAAGGAGAGACAAAGTCTGACCGAGGAGAACAGGGGATACCAGGAAGCTGGGGCCTGGGCAGATTCTCGTCCTGCACCAGGATGCTAGTTGGTGTGGTAGGTGGTCCCAAGCCCACGTTGGGTTATGTTGAGATTTTCATCCCAGGAGGCAGGCAGAGTGGGGGCCCTAAGGACAGAAATGGAGCAGTTGGAAAGAGGAGTGGATTTCAGGGAAGATATTGGGCCAGTTGATTTTTTTTGCCCTAGAGGATGGCAGGATATGTGAAATCTAGACCTGAGGTAATGGGAGAGACCGGGGTTCTGTTCAACAGTCCGCAGCCTGAAGATGAAACAACAGAGGTGAAGGAATTATTGGAAGAGGGAGATGATCTGAGGCATAAGATGAGACCTTTGGACTCCTGCCCCTTCCATTATCCCCCAAATGTCTTCTTAGTCCAAAATGGAGTCTCACCTTTCTAAATCTAGTGCTGACTCCTGTTCTGATCCTGTTCTCCTCCTAGATCTTGCCCGGCCATTGGAAAGAATTTCTTTTTCTTCTGCTCTCCTTATCAACAGCCACTGGGGAATCCTTCCAGAGATTGCCTTTATCTCCTGAGATCTAGCCACTCACTAGATTACCTGCTTCCTGCACAACCGCCTACCATATCGCCCCTACAGCTATTCCAGTTCTCCATCACAGAGCTGGTCAGGGGGATAAATCCTCAGCCATCTTAGAGGGATGAAGCTAGGGCCTACTGACCAGTCAGGGCCACTGGAGGACAGCAGAGACAAAAAGTCCCAGTTACTAGTAATGTTCTATCATTTAATCTTGTTCTAAGTCCTGTGAGGTACATGTTACTATCCCCTTTCTCAGACCTTTCTCAGACAAGGCACTTAAGTCTCAGAGAAGGGAACTGACTCACCTGGGTACCTTTCATTGCTATTCTGAATGGATACACACACACATACGTGCACACACCCTACCTCAAGGACATATCTCTCCCCGACACATCCTCCCTAGAAAGTTCTTTCAGTCCAGAATGTCAGAGTTTGTGTGTCTGTGTGTCTTCTAGAAGCATGAGGGAATTCCCTAAAGCCTTCCCAGTGAGTTTTCCCAGTGACTGACTTCTCCAAACCTCCTTAAGTGAAATAATCTGGGAGATCAGAGGCTACCCTTGGCCTGAGAGCTGGGGTGCCCGCTCCATTACTCTCCTTTGGAAGGTGGTTCCTTGCGCCATCTCACATCTATTCTGCCCTATCCCTTTCCAATATGTGCTGCTCTCCCCGTTGCAGATTCAGTACCTGGACTCCATGAATGGAGAGGATCTGCTTCTAACCGGGGAGGTGAGCTGGCGCCCTCTCGTGGAGAAGAATCCTCAGAGCGTCCTGAAACCCCATTCCCCAGTTTATAATGATGAGGGTCTTTGATGTCCTGGTCCCTCTGAGCAGCTGGCCCACTGGTGTTGAAGAACCACCGGAGTAGAAGTGCCCAGGACCCTGCAGAAAGTGACCTGAACTGACCTATGAACAACATCTGTCAAATACCTGGCCCCATTTGTGTTGATTTTCCTCTTGTGTACCCAGGAATCTGATCTGGTCAGGTTTAGTACTGGGAGACGCTCTTTTGGGCTGTTCTCTCCATCATGAGAAGACCTGAGCAAGAGCTCCCCAGCTCACATTCTCCAAGTCCCCTCTAGCAACCTTGTGAGGACAGCTTTGGCCGGAGGCCGCAGAAGGGATGGAGTACATTAGAAAGGGGACACCCCACCAAGGGCCCACTGTGGCCCAGGAGCAGTTTGTAATGCTGCTGAGTCAAAACGGGTAATCATGCTCTGTCCACTGGCTTTGAGCTGTGGGGTTGAGTTGGCCATTAAAAGAATCAGATTTAATCTGCCCATGGTTCTTCTTTAATCCAGGGTCTTTTAGAAACTTATCTTGAGGTGGCAGATGCTATAAACCGAGGAAGACCCCCCAGCTCAGAGACACGGGCAGGGAGAGGGTCAGGAGGGTCTCTGCTGCTGCTTTTGCTTCCAATTCATGGAGATGTCACTGTTCTGGCCCGTCCATGGCCTGCCAGGCCCCGTCCTCTGGGACCCCAAAGGCCTCTGATGACCAAGTGCTTGTCATATCCCAAGTCATATGGAAAGAGGCCTCAAGAACAATGAATCAGGTGAGGAACATGCTGTCTTTCCTCCCTCAGTTCCCCCATCTTTGAGATATTGAGGAGAAAAAGAAAACATTCTTCCTGGCTTTGCTGTACCATCGCAGAGCCCTGCTCTGTGCCCAGCTTCCTATGCCCTTCCCACTTCTGAGTGTGTGCTGCCGCGCCAGCTGGGCCTGAGCACTTGAGGACCAGTCCCCTCCTCCCTCTGAGTATGGGTCATCTCTTGGGGGGATTTTCTTAAATTGAAGAAAGGGGGCGTGGAACCATATTGCCCCTCCCCCATCAAGCGTCCTTCATTTAACTTGCTATAAAATGAGTCACATAAAGAAACTCTATATGGATGAGGTATATCCCACTTCTGTGAAAACATTACAAATCAAGCCGCCTTCTCTGAGTTTGTTTAAGATGCTTTTGTTGTGAACGGAGCTCTAGAGTGAAGCCTCCTCTGTGTGTGTGAGATAATAACACCTTGTAACTCATTACAGCTGGGCACTATTTACATAAACCAGAGCTGAGCCAGGCAGGAATTTGCTGATTAATTTATTTTTAATGGAGTGAAGTATACCATGCACCAAAATAAACTTTACTGTGTGTACCTAACTGCTCCTGGAATGGATGGAAAAATTAATGGAACAGATTTTGGCTCCCAACTCTACACATTAATTCATATATAAAAGTTACTTGAGCCTTAACCCATTTGCTGCCCACAGCAGCCCCGCAGCCACAGATCCCAGTTCAGCTACCGGGCTTGCTTTAGAATCAAGGAATCTCCGATTTGGAAGGAACTTACTTTAAAGGTCCAGCCCTGGTCCAGAACTTGACTCCCTTTCTCAACATCTCAGTTGGCCTATGTTCATACAGGCCCTATATGAATACCTCCAGTAGATTGTCCTTTTCTTGGAGTCACATCCTGCCTTCATGGGTAATTATCAAACACTGCATGCAACTTGTATGATGCTGCATCTCAAAAGGGCCAAAGTACTTCCTGGCTATCAGCATCTTTCACCAACTACAGACCCCTCGCCTTCAAGATAAAACCCAAGTTCCTTGGAGGATATAAGGTTCTTCTTAGATTGACCTTTGTTTGTTTTTGTGAATCTCTAACCAGTTTCTTCCCTGAACAAACTGAACCAGTTGGGGTTATCAGAAGAGATCAACCTGTGTGTTCCCTCTACCTGGATCCTCCCCCTCCCTCTTCTGACCAAAGAAATTCCACATGCCGTCAAGTACCCCTTCTCCTGTCCTCTCCAGGCGGTGTCCTCCAGGGAAACTACTTTTTACATCCCTCCCGCCATCCTGCACTGTGAGCACTGTTTTGGGTCAGCTGCCTTTGTTTTTCCAGTCCCAACAGAGTGCTTGCCTCACAGCAGACATCGGTGTAAGCTCTGACAAATGAAAGGAGGAATGAGTACTAACTCATCAATCAGCAGCACAAGCCCCCTCAAAAGCCTCTTTTTTTTCTCAGACTAAACTACTTATTTTAACAATTCAGTATAGCTGAGTGTTTTTAACAATTAAGCTTATTTTAACAATTCAGTATAGCTGAGTTTCTGTTGTTCGTTGTTGTTATGCAAAACAAGTGAAGGTCTTGATTTCTTGTCCTTAGGAAGAGCAACCTCTAGGAATAATTTTGTTATTTATTTGTACTCTGTATACTTCCAGAAAGGATCACAACAAATCAAGAGACACAGTTATAATAAGCCTGCAAAATAATTAAAGCGAAGTTTAAAAGATAAGATGCAAATATTGGGAGGGAAGAGAAGGGAAATAATGATTTTAGAAAACTTCAGCTGCCAATAACCAAGTTTTATATGACTTTTTGGGTAATTTGTGAAGTGTTTTAACATATCATCTCACAGCAGTCCTAAAAATAGATAATATCCTCATCCTCTTATCCCCTTGACACAAGTGAGGGGACTAAGGCTCACAGAGGCCTGTAGGGTCATCTAGGGTAAGAAGGGGCCAAGAGTGCCCCTGCCCGTATCTTCTAACCTCAGGGCCTTTACTCTCTCCTTGCTCACACTGCCTCCTGCAGGTCAGCGAGGAAATCTGCAATTGAGTATAAAATGTTGCTCTGAACTTCCTAGCTGCCAAAGGCAGAAACTGGAAGGCCTTAAGATTATGTAGTTTCCATTGTCACATAAAAGGAAGTGTACTTGTTCATCAGAAGAAACAGCCTGGCCCGTATGGCTCAGAGGTTGAGTGTTGACCTATGAAGCAGGAGGTTATGGCATATGCCTGGGTTGTGGGCTTGATCTCCAGTAGAGGGCCTGGTGATCAATGATTCTCTCTCATCATTGATGTTTCTATCTCTCTCCCTCTCCCTTCTCTGAAATAAATAAATATATATATATATATATATATATATGAAGAAACATGTTTCTCTGAAATCAATAAAAAAGTATTAAATATATATATATATAACTGTTTCTCGGCGTGTGGGCGAGGGTTCTGGCTCTGTGCTTAGCATGGTCCTAGGTGAAAAAGTAAACAAAAGAAAAGTGTTGAGCGATTCTTTGCCATGGGAGGCTGCGAGCCCACATTTTGAGTTCCTTGGGGCGGAGCTGCAGAAGCACAGCCCACCTGTGATTAAGACCTTGGCGTTCCTCTAGCTCATCTTTTTTAAATACAATCATCAAGGAATACAGTGCCTCTATCTTCCAGTTTCTGTGGTCAAGTAGGAGCCCAACTTTGTCCAAGTTGCAAAATTATCTTCTGTCATAAAGATGGCGACCAAACAGACGTACTTGTTCTGACCCCGGTCCCAGAACAGATAAAAGCAGCGTCTGAGTCGCTCAGGGAATATTGATTGGCAGCTAAGGGGCAGCAGAACTCTAAAGGAAGGTAAGGAAGGGTCCGCTGGACAGGATTTCCTGACCAAGCAGCCAGCACTGCGGCGGTGGAGACCGCCCTGAGCTATGGCCTCAGAGGGAAGGCTGTGCCCATCTTACCAGGAAAGGAGGATCTTTTCTGAAGCCTGGAAAACCCACAGCAGAGGAGACCATCGACCATCTGTGACACCCCAATCGGCGCAAACACGTGGATTCAAGGGAGTTCTTCGATCACCCATGGAAAGGTCAGAGTTTGCGGGGATAGCGTGAGGGTTCTGGGTGCCCGCTGCACCGGTAGCAACCACAGCCGTGGCATGCCCGAGCGGCCCCCGCGCCAAGTTGCGCCAAAAGAAGGCTGCGCTGCAGAGAAAATCCTTCCCTTCGCGACCCAATGCTGGGTCTGACGTAATCTTCCCCAGAAGCGGGATTTTTTTAAAAACACCAAGGGACTTGGGACAGATTGTTAAGAACACCTTGCCGCCTGATCCCTTTCACCCCCTTGCTTCTGAATACTAGGGAAGGACTGCCCAGTTGGGCATATCCTAGGGACTGCAGAGGGAAATTGCCTTCCTGGAAAGGGGGAATTGGAGCTGGAAGAGATAGTCTGGGAGCCAGCTGGCACTCTGCCAGCTAGAGCCATAGAGAAAGAAGGCTAGAGCAACCAAATAGACTGGGAGGTCAAACCAGAAACACTGTCACCTAGGGGCTGAATTACAAAACTGCCTTTTTTTTTTTTTCTTTTTTTTTTTTTTTTACTTTTAATTAATCAAAAATAAATGGACACAAATAACTAAGATATAGCCTACTTAAAATTAAGGACAACCTTATAAAACTGAGGTGCAGTGGAACGCTGGGAACTATAAGACTGTCTGGTCCGAGAATCAGGCATGCCAAATACAATAACAGAGGAAATGAATGACCACTACTGGACATTTTTATGCTAATCTTACTATTCTTTATTTTATTTTCATTTTTTACATTTTTTATTTAATTTTCATTTTTTACATCTTTTATTTAAGAAACAAATTTTTTTCTTTTTTCCTTACTTGATTTTACCTTATCAATTATTACATTTTTCAATCTCAATCATCACTATTACTACTGCTATTTTGCAATTTTTGTTTCCTTTTTCTTCTTTTTTTTTTTCTCTCACCAGTACCATTTTATTTTTTCTTTATTTTACATTGGGAGTAATCTTCATTCTATTTTAATCTCTACTATAGCATCGTTCAACCCTATCTCAACTCGACCTTTACACCATCACTCTCTTACTAAACTTTACCCTTTTTAGTCTCCTGTTTATCCTATCCCTTTCTGACTTTAGTTTTTCCTCTATTCTTTCTGTATACCCCCTGCTAAAGCTCTTACTATACTTATAGACCTAAGTTCCAACCCCTGATCTAAGTGTATAAATACCACTCTCTGCACTATAT